ATATGTCTCCTTTAGTACTTAACTGTCGCCGCTAGATGCCGCACTCTCGGATACCTCCTAGGTCCTGATGCTTCGCGCGTACGTACCAGGAACCGATGAGATGCTTTTTCAAGGAGGTATCACCGGAGAGTGAATTTCTGTCCTTGTCGCGCAGTATGTCTGCCCTTGTCTTGCACATTACGGGTATAGGGAGAAGCTTCGACAATTCTCAGCCGCTAGATGGCGCCTCCTATCGACATTCCTATCGACGCAGCGAACCCACCAGGTAATCGATAATAAATTATTAATTGTTACTCGAATGTGTTCACAATTTGCCCCTATTAAGTGAAGAAATTGATTGTTAACTCTTCATCTATCAGGATATTCTACGTTACCTTCTGACATCGTCTCGGGTAATCATTAAGAAATAATTAACGCGACACAAAACCTCTTCCGCTGCGAAACAGGAAGGGGAAGGTTCATTCTACAATTTTAAATTGCAAACTTTAACAATTTATTTGTAGTAGTACAGTTGATAATCAATTAACTGCTGATTACGTACATTTCTTCTCCATTGATATGTCGCGTTTAGTTTGTAGCTGTTGGCGCTAGATGGCGCACTTTCGAATACCTCCTTAGCCCTGATGCTTCGCGCGTACGTACCAGGAATCGATGAGATGCTTTTTCAAGGAGGTGTCTTGTGAAATGTATTGTCTGTCCTTGTCGCACACTGTCTCCTTCCTTGTCTTACACATTGCGGGTATAGGGAAGAGCTTCGGTAACACCCGCCCGCTAGATGGCGCTAGTGTCGCTCGCTCAAATTTTGCCCCTGCCGAGCTGCGACCGTCTTTGCACATTGATTAATATATTCTTATAATTGAATTCACTTTTCTAGAGCTTTCCGTGGGCCGATTTTGGCGTAGGACTGCTCAAATTAGACCTTATGGAACAAAGATAATGATAGCTCTATTGAGAATTGCAGATAGACACGAGAACAGACTAAAAATCACTATCAAGTGAATATTCATACTTATCTTATTCGTTACTTTCTCATGGAACACAATGGACACATCCAAAAATCGCTACTAACTCATTACTCTCAAGTCAAATGGAATTCATACCGCTTCTAGAATGTTGCCATCGGCACTTTCTAATTTCTTCACTCGCAGACAGTCACCAATTATGCCTACTAAGGGACAAATTGATTGATTTATTAGCACCGGTGAAGAAAAGAAATTCCTGGTTGCTTGGAACATCGTCCCGAAGAATAATTAATAAATAAGTAAGTGCGAAAGAAGACATCGATCGTCCACCGTGGGATATTTAATAGTTTCAAGCTGATGAAAGAAAACAGTTGCGGCGGTAACGAATCAACAGAACCTGCACGATCGTCGGCAACTTGTCGACGTTCCAGAGATACCGACTGCCTATCGCCCTTGCACACTTTGCGATAAAACACACTGATTGTATTTCTTTTCTTCCTGTCTACTGTTCTGAAATAGCAGTAAAGTGAAAAATACGTAGATATCGAAACGCAAGGGTGGCTAAATCGGTGGTCATGGGCACTCTAGCGACACTCCCCTCGCGAAAAGGTACCCTCTTCGTATCTACTTTTGCCTATTTGCGTCGAATGTTACATAGAACTGAGCAGGTAGCAGGTAGTGGGGGAACTTGTATATAGTATTCGAGCGACTGTATAAAAAGAAGAAAAAAGAGAAAGATTATGAGAAAGCTAGCAGTCGAGTTCATTTTTAGTTACTCTCGGTTCAGGCAGGGTGGGGCGTATGCACCCCACGTACACGGGTGCGAATACGATGACAAAAGTGTTGCAACATTTTGAAATTACTAGCAGAAATTCATGAATCCAGTCCCCGACAAGTCTAAATTTTTCGCGATGCAATCGTTGTCGGAACAAATGTCCGATGATAACGAACAAATATTACCAGCATTTCGCAGCATCCAAAATCATTACCGTCGACCCTTGCGATATCCTTCTCGGTATTACAATGTTATTCCAGTGCAGGCGACTTCCCTCCTGAATCTCTATGAAATCGGTGGTGCTCTGGAATAATGTCGAAACGATAGAATAGGATGGAATAAACGGGAGAAAAAGAGAAGGAAGAAAGACAATGATTCGCAAATAAAAGCCGAAACGGTACTGAGCAAGGTCTGGACTGCATGCTGCCTGGTCGTCCAGATCCCGGGCCAACCACCCCCGTGATAACGCCAGCTACCGAGCATGTGTAATGGAAAACAGGCGAGCCAGTTCGATATCGGACGCCGAGGCGTTCGGTCCGTCCATGAACGTTTGCAATTTTCCGTTCATTTCAGTCTTTAGCGACTCCTCTTTATTACAGGCGTGCTTTACTTCATTTACGCTAAAAACGGTGCATTCTGGGAATCAGTGAAAACACAAACTAAAACATTTGTTGTCAGTCGTTCGCGATATGCGTGTTTCAAAAATTTCTTCAAAATCATATAATCCTTTTTGCTGTACACGCAAACAGAAAAAGAGACAACAACTGTTTCGCAGTGGTTCCTCGCGAGCAGAAAAACGGTAAGATCGGAGGATCCAAACGTTTCTTTCACTTTTCCCTTTACTCGTTCCCGTGTTGTTTCTTGTGCCATCTAACAGCTAGCATGCATGTGCTCGTGCACGTACATTACCATCGCCATTACCATTGCAATGAACTTTTTCAATCGTCTTTGTTCACCTCCAAAAGAAACAGAGAGAAAAAAAAGAAGAAAAGACTTGTCCATTTCGCTTAATTCACTCGCGTAACGCATTCTAACGATTAAGAGAAGGATAAACAGTGATTTTCAAATTTCTCAGCGGCCGCGATACAAAGAAATTCATGCACACTAACGATAACGCGCGTCAAGAGTGATCGACACTTTCGAATCTTTCAAGGTCTAGTGGTAAATTACCAAGGTTATTCGACTATTTCAAACTGGCATGTTCTATAAGCAGTTTCAATTGGTTACACGAGAGGCCTGGAAGAAGAAAAGAAAAGAAAAGAAAAGAAATCGACCGAGACCGACGTGAAGCGTTCATTGAATAAAGAAAAAAGAGACATATTAATCTGTAGAACGTGACAAATACTTTCCAAGCAGCACAGCTTGTAACACCAAAAATCCTATTTGTTCCATGAATTGCGGAAAATTCTTCGAAAACATTATAAAGTATTTTTAATACCAGTGAATAGCAAATGTAGTGGAAAATGTTTACGGCGCTTTAGTCTACCGTGATGAAACTGTACGATACTTTTTTTTCTGTACGAAAAGATTGTACACGCTCTAATTCCTACCACTCTTGATCATTCACCGTTCCATACTTCCGCGCGTACTACAGGAATTTGCCATAAATAAAATCTCCCCTACGACGCGTCAAGAAAATTGTTCCATTAATTGTTAAATCAGAAAATTGTGCCATTCGTTTAAACCTAGCGAGAAATACTTGGTTACAGGTTCGTGTTCGTTTCGATGCGTGAATGTTAAAGTAAAGTAAACCAAAGTAAAGTTAACGAAAGCAAATTAGAGGAAATGAAAAGAAAGTAACGTAAAAGTAACAAATAAGAAAATAAGAAAAGCAAAATAATGCACAATCGCGTACTATTTTTTATTCTGTATGGTAGGTATACTGCAAGCAAGGAAACACAAAATCGAATAGATACGGGTCAATAAGCCGACCACCGAAGAAACCGAGCTACCGAACGAGTTAGACATCGCGTGGAAGATAGGGTCGCCACAGGCCCATGGCCGGGAACTCTTATCACCGGTTCTGGTCGTGGATCCCGATCGTGATCCTTTCCAGCTGTGTCATTTTATCGAGCACCGATCCGGCACCGTGCGTTTCCTACGCGTCGAATCTAATCGACGACGAGAACATCTACGAACAAACAGAATCGGAAGTGACGGTGTTTCTACGGGAAAATTGTAACGGCGAAACCAACGCGTCGGACATTCAAGAATACTTGGACCGATTTAACTTGGATGTACCAATCACTGTGATACCCACGTCTTGTAAGTATTTCGATGAAACGGTGCTATTCTGCTAGTCGAAGAGTCGATAATTGGCCAACTCCTTTCTCTTTGCCACTGTCAGTGTCGTGCGAAAGAAAGACGCGAGGTCTCGACACGTTGCTGCGCATACTTGGCGAGAGAAGAACAAAAGTCCTGGTAGCAGCGCTTGATACTCCAATGTGCGAGATCACAGCGAAATTGACACGATTTTGGAACGTATCCCTGTTTACTTGGACCTGTCCTTTGGTGAGAAACAGTTTCATATCCTTCCGAGGTTTCAAAGGGTTTCAGATCGCTGTCGTTATCGCTGGTATTTAATACTGTTGCTTTCAGAAAGATGACTCGGACGATAGAGAATTTTCGTCGATCGTTAGACTATCGCCTTCGTTGCCCGCGATAGCAAAGGCTCTGGCGGAAATTCTGATGAATTTGCAATGGAAAGCGGTGTCTATGATAGGAACCGGTAAAATGGATTCCTCGTACAGATTCTATTCGGCTTGAACGTCGTCTCGAGACACTTAATCGTTATATTATAGATCGTGAACCATGGTCGAGTCTGGACAGAGCGTTGTTGGATGCTCTTCGAAATATCGGAGCTGTATTGCGATATCGCGTGATATTACCGTACCATGCTTCTCTCGAGGAGATTCGAAAACTGCTTCGCCCGACGCACGAAATTTCTCGCAGGGGTGGGTAATTCTCTCGCCTAAGCATGTTTTATTTCATCTCGCTTCCCTGAATACCTCAGAATTATTGTCAGTTTCGATCCGATTGTTCACAGTTACCCTATTATGCCTACCCACGTCCGATGATAACGAAATAACAACCAGGGTGCTTACCGAGCTGAACGATGCTCGAAAACCGTCGAGTGCCGCGTGGACCTCCACCACCGTGATCGTTCACACGAAAGATGACGACTTGTTTCTACCGGTCGCGAATTCATCGATTTCCCGTTTAAATACAACGCTATCGATTTCCTTTGAGAATTTAACGTCTTCCAATGATTCACTGATGAGCGAATTCGATGCTTATATGAGACTAGCGAGAGCGGAAGGAAAGAGTAACGTGGAAGAAGAAGAAGGAGGAGAAAGAGAACACGGAGAAGAGGAAGAGGAAGAGGAAGAGGAAGAGGAAGAAGAAGAATTGAAAGGGAAAAGAGGCAAGAGCCGATATTTACCACCGAAGAATCTAAGTTCAGAATTCTTGGAGAAACTTTTAATAATAACGCCTCATGACCACAGGTAAGCATATTTTGTCAATTTATTGAAAATACGCGAGCTCGTTGTTAGACACGGGAAACACTGAAACATTTCCATTCGTCCCTCGCAGATACGATGTGGAGAAGGTGTACGACGGTACCGAAAAATACACGGTGCCTTCGTTGTTCGACCACTTGAACGAAACTTTCACCGTACTGATGTACGATAACTCTACTATAAACGCATTCAACAACAAAATGTACGCATACGTATTATTGGATTGGCGAACCGATGCTTGGAAACCTATAATGATCAGCGTGGAACAACAAAGAAAACACTTTGTTCGGAAATTGTCCACGAACGCTTCAGCGTTCTACGACGCGAACGACGTTGATCTTTCGAAATGCGACATGTCAATCGACGCGGAACTCGGTATCGATTGTGCAGGTGAAAAGTAAAGAAAAACCTTGTAGTCTGCTTTATTCGGCCCATTCATTCTATCGTTTCGAATGAAAAATTCTACTTTCGACTGGAGAAAATAATCGTTTCGAACGTTCATCTTTCTTTCAGAGAACTTTTCGAATGAAACAGCGTTTCGGATCGCGCGTGTCGTAACCATCATTCTGGGTTCGTTACTATTGACGGCATTCGCGATATTGACTGCCGTTCTAATCAGGTGAGGGATCCATTTATTTTTGTTCCCCTGGTGCACCTAGTCTCGCGAGATAAAGATATACGCGCGGGAAAAAATAACGCGGACCCACTCGTGGAGGCCGGGACGGCTGATCGAGCAAGTTGAACATTTCCTTGCCGCTACACGTGCAACGATACGCGTATTTATATTGTCCGAAGAGTGCCACACTGCTCACGACGGTTGAGTCTACCAACAATGAATAACCTACGGGATGCAATCGCAGACTAAAATTCGAGTGGGTTCGCGTTCGTTTGCGAAAAGTTTTCCCGACTTTTATAACTGCGCCAAATACCTGTCCAAGTGCGTTCGACTGTTTGTTTAGCGTGTAAACTGTCTGTTTAACCGGTCAACATATTTTCCCTTCGATACAGAAGAAAATTGCTTAAGAAGAGAATGTCGAAAGGTCAATACAAGATCATATTGACCACGTCGGATTTCGTTTTCCCACAAGTACCTCGAGTAGATCTCAGAAGGGTGAGTTGAATTTCCGTCTACAAGGTGATCCTCTCGCTAGAGGTAGCGAAAATAAGCTAAAAGAATCGGCAGAGTTCCTTTGCAGCCTCCGGCGAGAGATCCCTTCGGACACGAATACGGATCTACACGAGTGCATGTGTCTGTAGAAACGTAGAGAGGAGAATTCAAAGTGACGCGACATATCGCAGGTGGACGAGGGTATCGAGACAATGTTGACCTGTTGGTTGCAACAATTGCAAGAGTTTGGTGGTCCCGAAGTGGAGAAGCCGGATCTTCTTCAACTGGGCAGCGTGTCATCTTTAAGACCGTATCTACGAGCGAGCACGGGGAATTTGACGCGACACGGTTTCTTCAAAGTTCTACGCGCTCAGTACAACGTTAGTATACCCAGTAATCACTGTACTCGCGAATGAATGTAACAGATGCGTGGTTGCCGTGGTGTACCGTTTTCGAGCTGGCCAAAGATGAGAAACGTGACGCTATACGATCCGTGGAGAATTCCCTCTGCGAGAAGCAACGGACACACGACACATGCGCCGATCACTCAAGTTTGCTATTTTGCTGTTCGTTAGGGTGACTTGGTGCAGTTGAAAGAATTACCGACACAGGGTACGTTCGAGCTGAAGAATAAGGCCATGGACGTTCTGGTCGTGGTAAGGGAACACTTTTTCGAAACGACATTAAAGATGTAAAAATAATAAAGATGTTATGCTTACGATACCTTACGATCATGCACAGGTGCACGGATTACGCCACGAAAATTTGAATCCACTGATCGGATGTCTAAACGAACCTACGAGGCCTTGCCTCGTTTACGAGTACTGTTCGAGAGGGTCCCTGGAAGATGTCTTGGTACAAGACGAAATCAAACTCGACTGGTCGTTCAGACTGTCCTTGCTGACCGACCTTGTCCGAGTAAGTAGCACGAGTGTTGCCAGTATATGGAAATTGAATAAATCGTCGGTGTTTGGTGTTGGTTCGGTGTGAATATTAAATAGTTGGTGGTCGATTTTCTCGTGGTTTTCTACTGTGAAGGGTATGAGGTATCTGCATGGCACACCGGTACGAGTACACGGTTATCTCACTTCGCGTAACTGCGTGATCGATGCTCGTTGGGTTCTGAAGGTAACCGATTACGGACTACCCGCATTCTACGAAGCTCAGAACATCGTATGCCCGCCGAAAACGGCTCGAGGTATGCCAAATATATATATATATATAGAATTCTATTGATCCGGATCCGGACGGTGATCTTCCGTATCTTGATCATCTTCCTTAGATCTGTTGTGGACGGCACCTGAATTGCTGAGGCACCCGAATCTGCGGAAGAAGGGAACGCAAGCGGGAGATGTTTATAGTTTCGGGATTATTATGCAAGAAGTTGTGGTTCGCGGAGAACCGTTCTGCATGCTTGCTTTGTCCCCGGAAGGTAGGGGCAGTCAAGTTCTCGTTCGTTTCTCGACCACGGTAATCTCGTTTAAGGTACGGATTATAGGAACAATTTCATATTTCACTGTAGATATCATAGAGAAAGTGAGGAAACCACCGCCATTAATCAGACCGTCCGTGAGTAAAGGGGCCGCACCGCCGGAAGCGATAAACATTATGCGTCAGTGTTGGGCAGAAGCAGCAGACATGAGACCCGATTTCGACTATGTTCACGATCTTTTCAAGACGCTCAATCATGGAAGGTACCGCGGATCGTTTCGATCGTCCATGTTCCGTTCGCTTCCATCCGACGAGAAATATTCGCATGTTTCTGTTTCTTCTCAGGAAGGTGAATTTTGTGGACACGATGTTTCAAATGTTGGAAAAGTACTCGAATAATCTGGAAGAACTGATAAGAGAACGCACAGAACAATTAGATATGGAAAAGAAGAAAACGGAGCAGCTACTGAACCGAATGTTGCCAAGGTACTCGTGGAGCATTTCTTTGGCTGTGTCGGGCGTCGTCGTATACCGTGTACCGTATACCATAGACTGTAGACTGTAGATTGCAGACTGGATTAATATGCATTTTCAGTTCCGTCGCAGAAAAATTGAAATTGGGAATGCCCGTCGATCCCGAGGAATTTCGCGAGGTGACCATTTACTTTTCGGACATTGTTGGCTTCACGACCATTTCCGCTCATTCAACTCCGTTTCAAGTAGTAGACCTCTTGAACGATCTGTATACCTGCTTCGACGCAACGATCAACGCGTACACAGTATACAAGGTGACGTAGTACGACTGTAGTACAAGGAACCCCTCGAGTCCGAATGAAATTTCTCTTCTAGTTGGGATTTGTTCGGATAACCAGTGATCATCGTCGTTATCGTTTCAAACGTTGCAGGTAGAAACCATAGGAGATGCGTATATGGTCGTGGGTGGTTGTCCCGTGAGGATACCGGATCATGCCTCTCAAATAGCTACGATGGCTCTCGATTTACTGCATCAAAGCGGAAAGTTCAAGTTGAAACACCTGCCGAAAACTCAATTGAAACTTCGTATCGGTCTTCATACCGGTTAAGTATCGCGCGACCAGTAGTTGTTACCTCGATCCTCGATTCGATAGAAACATTCTTATGATAACTAGAATTGCTGTGAAATAGTAACGAACGCATCGGTGATATATCGACTGCGGTTTCTTGACCACTGCATTCCACGAACATAGGTCCGTGTTGCGCTGGCGTTGTTGGCTTGACGATGCCGAGATACTGTCTCTTCGGCGATACGGTGAATACTGCATCGAGGATGGAATCGACCGGTGCTCCATGGCGTATACACTTGAGTCAAGAGACGAAAGACAGGCTATCCGAAGTCGGTGGATACAACATCGAATACCGTGGACCGACGGAGATCAAAGGCAAAGGAAGAATGCCTACGTATTGGTTACTGGGGAAATATGGTTTCGACAAGGAACTACCAACGCCGCCAAAGCTTGGGTAAGCCGTTGCACGAGTCACGTTTGTTGTTCGTCTGCTTGTTAAATGGTTGACTGCAACCAAACTGAATAGAACGAAATTGAGAAAAATCCTGTAAAATATTTCACGCGTCGTACTGTCCTCCGTTCTAGCGGCACAATCACACGATTCTTCCTGCAACGATCACTTTCCTCTTTAGATTTCTTACACGTTCCGTTGCTAAACAACATTCGACGCTTCTTGTGTAAAACAGTCTGCGATCAACTAGATAGACGATCTACTAGTTCTTCCTCGCGTCTGAGGACTATCTCGAGCGTTTACGCATCGAAAACGAAAGTACAATTACAGTAACGGTTATCGCACCTGCGCGTATATACTTTGTTTTGGTAGATCTTCATTCGAGGTGTTTGCTTTTCAGATTTTTAATGCTTTTATCTGTTGCCATACTGCCGCCACCTTCAGGGAAAACCATGGGTAAGTCATCCGTAATTTGCTCTGACAACAAAATCGGAGTAAATACTTCGAGTTGATAGAACCGGGCGTGTATACGTGGGGATGGGTGCGGCCAATGTTATTTTTCTAGCTTAATTTCTCTTTACGATGCAGTGTTTCATTGAAACGTAACATTAACATTTTTTATTTTCACGCATTCGAATTTTCGACCCTTCGAAAGGTTGAACGAGAGCATGGTACTGATGGATTCGACTGCAGCGGACACGGGGATGGAAATGCAGACTGAGAGAGCAACGTCAACGGAGATGGACGCGGACACCGAGACAATGAAGAAAACAGAAACATTCACGGAAACGGAAATGGAGACGGTGACTGTGACGGTGACGGGAACGGAGACAGAGACAGAGATAGAGACAGGAACGGGGACGGAGACGGAAACGAAGGTGGAAATAGCAACAGTAATTGAAACTGCAACGTTAATCGAGAAATTCTTGGACAAGAATCTTCCTCCAGTTCAAGATGCAAAGGAACAAAAAGAAGAAAACCGCGCAGGTCGCATTGACGTTGACGTCGTCAACGTTCCAACAATGGAGACACGTGTGGAGAGAAACGAGAATCCCGGAAATGCGGTATCGGTGCAGGAGCAACCAATTCACTGTACAAACTATTCATCGAAATCACCGACAGACTGTACGAGCATCTTAGCGACGAGACAGATAATCAGCGAAAAAGAAAACGATCGCGCCGATACAGTTGGCGTTACGAAAAATATCTTTGGGGAGGGTCGAACGTCCCACGGAGCATCCATTATACATTCCGGCGAAACAGCTACCTTAGGTGCGTCGACAAGTTCTCTAACATCGATTGCCAACTCAACCACGAGCTCTTATAAAGCCGGTCCTGTGAGACATCGCAAAATAGGCGGCTACGTCGACGAAAACGATTTGAGCACACCGTACAATCATTACAGATGTCTCTCACCAAATGAACACTATGGTAAGACTATGCACTTTTTTTTTTATTCAACTCTGATCCTTCTCGATATAAGAACATTGCCTTTCCCTTATGAATTCTAGGAAGAGCCACAGGTTGTCGTTTCTTAAAGAGACAATTTAGTTTGGACCGACCGGATGATGCTGTTTGCATTGCTTTCGCTGAACAGGCCAATCAGCAACAGCAACAACAGCAGCAGCAGCAGCAGCAGCAGCAGCAGCAACAGCAGCAACAGAATCTAAAAACTGTACATCGAATTTACAAACAAAACAGCGCGGGCGCAGCAAATGATTTGGAACGTATCGAGGAAGTACCTTCAACTCCGACACCTCTGCTACAGCATTACAGGCAAGCGGCGTCAGTTTCTCTCTCAGTGGAATCTCTGACGTTACGCTGAGCACGTTGCACCGGTACCATTCGTTAATCGGTCAAACGACGAACACTCTAATTCAATTATATTTCACGGGAATCAGACAATCGCGCTACGTGTTTCGGAACCATCGTATAGAATATATAATATACGTCGTGCAAACAATCTCTTCAATCGCATTTAACTATTTTTTAAGAAAGTATTACAGGGAAAAGATAAGGTTCGATCGATGCAAAAAGGATGTACCATTTATATGTTCGCAAGTTTGTTTTGCACCCAATCGTATTGCCGTCGGCCGGCAATAATAAATTGTGACCTGTAATAACGTAGCGTTAACGTAGATATACAAGAAATCGCGTCAAATATAACAAATTTTAATGATCATTTTACACATGCTCATTAACGCGACTGACAATCTCTATTACGTACAAACGTCGACGCGTGCGCAACTCTTTTTCAACATCGGATAAATAACCGAAATAATTTCGGTTTAAATCGCGTCCAATCTCTAAAGATAATAGTTTTATGTGGAACGATGAAAAATATCAAATGTAAGGTATAAAATGTACAATGTAAAGTTTAAAGTTTAAAGTTTAAAGTTTAAAGTTTAAAATGTAAAATATAAAATATAAAATGTAAAATGTAAAGTGTAAAGTGTAAAGTGTACAGTGTAAAGTGTAAAGTGTAAAGTGTAAAGTGTAAAATATAAAGTGTAAAGTGTAAAGTGTAAAGTGTAAAGTGTAAAGTGTAAAGTGTAAAGTGTAAAGTGTAAAGTGTAAAGTGTAAAGTGTAAAGTGTAAGGTGTAAAGTGTAAAGTGTAAAGTGTAAAATGTAAAATATAAAAAGTAAAGTGTAAAATGTAAAGTGTACAGTGTAAAGTATAAAATATAAAGTGTAAAGTGTAAAGTGTAAAGTGTAAAGTGTAAAGTGTAAAGTGTAAAGTGTAAAGTGTAAAGTATAAAGTGTACAGTGTAAAGTGTTAAGTATAAAGCATAAAGTGTACAGTGTAAAGTGTAAAGTGTAAAATGTAAAATGTAAAATGTAAACTTTAAAACTATCTGTTGGATTGTCGCGTGGTATTTACTTAGGTACTATACTGTCACGAGTCGCGAATTGTATTCACAATATTCAACATGTTGCTTATGCGTGTAAAAGAAATGAATCCGGCAACGAATTCAGCGTCATCGCAATAGACGCAAAAGTTTCTCATTTCTATTATTACATCTTCCTATTGAAATGAAATAATGTTGAAAATTCCGAAATCTGCGACACAGCTTACGTGACAACAGAGGAACACCGTTTTCTGTCAGTATTAGACCTTCGTACGTTCGAAAAGTTAGCAATTCTTCGCTATCGCTTCCGAATCGTGGACAATAACTCGAAACCGTAAAGTGTAGGAACGTAGATTGTTCGTTTGTTTGTCGCGTTGTTACTATTACTGACCGTACGACTTGTTAGCATACACATACACATGTTCAATATCTTGATATTAATGATAAGCCGGTTAAGAAAAGCACGAACGAATGTTTCATGCGGATACGCAATAATATGTGTTTATTGTGTAAGTAAGTGTACATAATAATGGGTTAAGAATGGCGGAGACGGATAATAACGATCGATGCGAGGAGGGTCTCATGGAAGTATTATAGTTTGAAGGAAATTTTCAAAGTTTCTCTTTTTGTATATGTCGAATGAATGCGCGATTTTCGAAAGTATAACGAATAATCGATCGTCGGAAGTGAAGAAGCCGACTTGTACGTGAGATAAATCGAGGAAATGGAATTGTAATCGATAATAAAAAGTCTAATGTACAAGTAACTCTTTAAGGATGTTGCGCTCACCTAAATATTTCCACGGAAAATTTCATACAAGATTTCGAAAGGTACGCAGAGTTTGGTGCGCGGTGACAATATATGTATTTGTAGTAAAACATTCGCCATCTAGGTTTTCCACCTCTCGGATCTCGGTAAACGAATGTTGTCTGTTGGGCAAAGCTCCGACGAATCATAGTGTTTTCATATATGCTTTGTCTCTCTGCGCGTGGGCAAATTTCGGACAGATTCGAACAGATTTTGGTAAGCATACGTGTGAACGCGAGGGGAGAAAAGATGAGGTACTGGCAACGCACTTTAAAATCTCGTGGATGTTCTATTTATTCGTTATTCTATTTTGCGTTCACATTATTTACAGTTCTCGTAGATTGCAAGTTTTTAACGATGCGCTCGACGACTGCTACTGATTCGGCTGTGTGTAACTTTGGATCGGACCTTTGGATCGGTGAGTCTGGTTCAGCATTAGTTTTACCATGCGCTACAACGAGAGAAACAAGCATCGTTGTTATAACAAAGACGCTTCATTCGTTTACGGGAAGAGAAGTAAAGAGAAAAGTGTAAACGGCAGAAACGAGGTTTACCCGTACGACGATGAAGGATCTTTAAATCCAGCCGACACTATCGGCTTAACGAATGGCGGTGCCGGTCTTTCTATTATCCTTTCGACGAAAATGGGTTTCTCAACGTATTCAATATATTTTACGGCTGGCGATGGGGGTGACAGATACACGTGACGAACACTCGGGGCGGTATAATAGCCAGCTTTGTACCTGGAAAGCGATGGATTCTCCGATTAGCGTTGTTTGAAAACTGGTGATCAGGCGAAAAAGATTGTTCGAATAGGCTCTCACCCTTTTGCGAGTCCCAAACCGAAACCAACAAGTCCTGCACCGAGAAGTTTCTTCTTGAGTAGAAGCGTTCTTTTTTGTCTATTCAGCGGCACTCCAGCACTCCCAGCTTCATGTTCAAACGACTGAACATTGTCAGAATTGTCGAGGGTCGGCGAGTAATTCTCTTCAGCGGGTACAGCATCAGTGGCAATAATGAAAGATACTAGGAAGCAACATGTAATAGCAACGATCGTAACGTTGATTGCACGCATCTGCCGGAGAAAATGTTGAAATTATTATCGGGTAATCCGTAAAATGAAGTTGTTGAAAAAAAAAGAACTGTACGCTATGCGATCGCGATTGCTCCGTAACATGTATATATTTTACCTTGACGTTGTACTCGTTGCTGAACAAATATCTTCGATGTACTGAGAATACTGGTTCGTGTGACACCTTTTCAACAGGCCCGTTTGATTTTATACAAAGTCGCCTACCTTTGACACGCAGCGCCCTACCACCACCTTCTCGAACCGAACGTATGCTCCGGTTCCTTCGTATTCCTGTTCGAACGTTCGAACACCCACCTTTAACGCGATGAACCGCCGAATCGTGACAAATTTACGTGATCAGGGGCGATTGTTATGACTTGGACTTGATTCACATTGGATCGCGTTACGAAAATGGTTATCAAGACCAAGTCTCGAGATTCTTGAAATATTCCCAAAAGCGTATGCTACGAATCGTGATGCGGATAATTAACAACGTGCTACGTTCCAAACACAGACATAAACGCTATTAATCAGCGAAATCTCTGTAATGTTAAAGAAGAGAACGGTCGCTCGATGTGTATACGTTGCTGTTGCGCCAGAACGCGGATGTACGCGAGTACTTGGATACGTATATCGTCGCATGTTTTGAATTCGGAAGACACCCACTCAATTGTACAATGCAGAATTGTACGATTAATAAAATCAAGTACATTTTACTAGAATATTTGTTCGGACAATGGCGTAATCAATGGGTGACGAAATGAGACGAAACGAATCGCATCGCACTACACCGCCGCACGATTCGCCTGATGGCACGTCGCGTCGCGTCGCGTCGCGTCGCGTCATGTCAAGAATAAAAACGAAATGCCTCTGTTGTGAGAACGAAAACCAGACCAATGATCCGCGTTTCAAATGAATGACGTTCCATGTTATGTAACATTTTGATCAAGTCTGGAAGGATATGCGCACCGTACGTACAGTTGTCCGAGCAAGTACATATGTAGGATTATGTAAACACCGAATTTCAACGAGTTTAAAGTCTTCTGGTTTCCAATATTATACCTGGATCCACGGACATTTCTTTTCAATGGGTGAAATATAGATTGGTATAGACGTAGAACCTGCTACATTGATTCAAACCGATTGCAGAAGGAGGCCGGATTATTCGAGAAAATATGAAGAAGGAATTCTTCGCATCCCCGACAAGTTACATTGTCCCGGTGAATCGGTGCTGTTGCATCGCTTCGATTCATTCCGTATTCACCGGCGGAAGTCCACCTCGCAACATTTTTGACTGCGTGCTTCACCTTTCAACGAACGAATTACCCAATACCTTGTCCTACTCGAGTTTATTCGAATGGAATTTTTATCGGGCTTACCACCTCTCGATGAAATGAATTACATACCTAGCTGGTCGTGCGTCATCGGTGAAATTCGCAGTGTTGCAAATCCTATTTAAACGTTGAGAAGCTGTTCGATTTCTATTGTACTGGAAACGAATGACTTATCCAACTTGAACAGTCGCAACTGGAAAACCAAAGGATACGCGATACACGTTTGCGCGTGAAACGAACAATGGTTCTCTTTCGTTCGATCGAAGAATACTTTGGATCGCGGCGGATCTCGAATGAATATTAGAAAGGAAAATTGTCAAGATTATCGCAATTGTTTTTTCAATGTTTTCGATTTTATTCCATATGGCTAATCGCTTGACAAAGTTAATCTTCTACGATGAATCCGTCACACGTATCATCGATCATCGGCGCCACCTGCGTAAAAATAAAATCGAGGCTAAAGCTTTCCCTCCACTGTGCAAGCGACGTCTGTTTAATCGACAGGTATACGTACTCGTAATGATGATTCGCAAATTCGGCCGTATAACCGCCCCCGTAACCACTGCCGTAACCACCGCCGTAGCTGAAAGCGAAAATGAAAGAAAACATTGAAACGCGTAACACGAGAACGACGCGTCTCGAATAGAACGAACCATCGAAGAAACGATAAGGCTCAAGATTTCCGTGTGCCAACGCATACTCACTATTTCGCTTTGTATAGTCCAGCTCCAACGATACCGGCGCCGATTAAAGCTTTAGCTCCGACCGCTGCACCACCCAGCAGAAGCGCTTTCTTACCGAGAACGGCGGCTCCTCCGAGTAAAGCCAATTTGCCCAACGGAGCTCTCTTTTCGCGAACGAGACGCCCTTCGAGTTGAACGTTGCTCGGAGATGAGGAAGGATGATCTTTCTGCGAAATCGGGGATGCCACGAGGCTGTACGCCATCGACGACAGCAGGACAAGCGATACCAGCAAGTACGACCACTTCATCTTCCGAAATGTGCGTAGACGGATGAAATGTCGAAAATGAAATGGAACCGAAGAGTTGCAAGGAAATCGAACGAGCTTAGGACCGTGCTAAACGGTCGAAGGAGTCTGGAAATGACCGAAATACTCGAGGCACAGCTAACCGTTTGGCGAGAAATCAAGCTGGAGAAATGAGCAAACTACTGTGCAGCGAGGAACACTTACGTTCATCACACAAGTGATGTCTGTTACGAGCACACCGTTCGAACGGTTCAAAGCGAAAGACTTTTATATACGCAAAGTCCTCGGTTTATCCCTTCTCTTCAAACACAAATCTCCTTGCGAGCACTGAAAACCGGAATTCGTGAATCTCCTTCTTCGCAACCTCTCGCGAACAGGTCGATCTTCCCTGACAACCAACTCGAACCGATCTCGTCTGATCTCCCCGTAACCCAACTCACCCTCGAGCTTCTCAACGATCCCTATTAATACCCGTACATGCGTAGATCGTAGACTCGATTTTTTAATCGGTCTCGTTTTCATAAGCGGAGAGCAATCTCGCAACGTATATATTATGTGTGCACATACTTGTCAGCTCTTCGTGGAAGCAGAAGAAGACGAGGGCAAACAAAAATAGAATTGCGTAGCAATTCCATCGACTTTCACCGAATGATTCTTCGGTTTAACGACCTTGAAGACGAGTTTCTTCAACCGTGTGACCTTATGTTCTTCGCATAGGTAAAAGCGTTACTAATTAGCATACAACCGTCGAATTACTTGTCTAGACCGGGGAGCGCTTATAATGTACGATTGGCCGTTGTCCATGCCCATGATACAACGTAACGCCACCTCGATCACCGTTTCGATGAGAATGGGACAAAGACTGGGATGGTATTCGAGCGATCGAATGAGATTGAAACATTGGAACAAGATCGAATCGCCGAGAAATGTGTGTTTACTGAAAAAGAGACGTATGTAAATATAAAACGGGTATAATCTTGTATCCAGGATCACGAAATGCCTCGCAAACCAAAGTATCGACGACGAGCCGGTAAACCCGAGGACACAAGAGATTCGAAACGGCAAGCTCTGATCATCCGAGAAGCGAAAATCACCGGTGAAACTACGGAGCGATGTCAATCGTCTTGGCGAGGAACGTTTATGCGTATGGAAATGCCAGATATCGAGAAGACGATCGAAATCGCTTGGAAGAATTTACAGTACGCTCTCGATCTCAGAGAGCACAGGTTCGTCTCTAGTGGTACTCTCGTAAATATCTATACAACGTGGTACATCGGATTCAGGATCGGCTTACTGTTGGACGTTTTGCAAGAAGCCGAGGATCACCGACGCAGCACAAACGGCGCTCGTGCAGAGGTGATCGACCGATCGCTCCAGGTGCACGGAGCACGCTTAAAAGCCGCTGACGCGTTCTTCTATCGACGTATAGGGACGCTGTTCGCGGATAGAATTCAGGAATTTCACGACATTCATCATAGCCGAAACAAGGATGAAAGCAACATACGGAGAATCAATATCCTCGTAAATCATCGAATTGAAAATGAACTATACACTGGGAAAAGCAATACGATAAGTTAGATATAATAGCGAAGATAATAAGTTGTCACCGATTCGGTTTTCTCAACATCGCTTCTTTCGCCAAGGTAAAGTGAACGCTTTCGTGGAGGACGGAAGGAACGAAAGGAGATCGGTTACGGCGCAACTTGAGAAACAATTGGAAGATTTCTGGGATCAATTGCGAAGCATATTTTCCGACTATCGAACAAGTTTGTTCGCGATTCTATATCTGATTTTGCCTTCCGAGCACTCCGTGATAGAACGTTTGCTGCGGCAGATACCGATGAACGGCGCAAATCTTACGAGATGCTTCAAAAGAAAGACGAGTCTGATCGACAAGCGATAATCGAACAAAGTTTACGAATCACGTGTCTACTCGACGAGATTGCGAAATTTCGTGGAAAGATTCATTCTTCGAAGAAAAACGTTGTAAACGAGCTTCGCGACACCACGCAACAGTCCCATCTCTTTCGTAATCTTTACCGTGGAGCAAACGTATGCTTCACTTTCGGTACGTAAAGATTGCTAGATTGGATAATCTGTGCATGGGAGAAACGATACAAACGACGCTAATCGCTCGCGTCTATAACGTAACCACTTTATCAGGTCGCGAGGAGGATAAACAAAGAGAAATAACAATGTCCAGAGAATACAATCGTACCGCGAAACGATTAAAAACCTTGACAATAAAGGCTAAACATATTCTCGCATACATGCAAATTTGTCGGAAATACGAAACGGAGGATGAAAAGATACTTCCACCGATCGTTAATTATCCAAACTCGCATTCGGTTGAAATGGGAACACCGGACGAACTTTTAACATTCCATTCAGTTACAATTCTTAGATCGCTTGATATACAGCTTCTTTTTTTTCGATGGAACAACAATCAACAATTATAACACTGATTACTTTCAGATTGCGGAGAACTTTCAGACTTTAGTTCAATTCTGGCACCGCTTCGGCTTTGCTCGATTAACGATCACTGAACAAACTAAGGAAAGATATTTCTTAGCTACGAAAAATATCAACTTACGAACAGACATAAGACAGATTTTCGCACAGAAGTCGTGTTCTTTTTAATCGATATCACGATTAAAAATTCTTCCAGCTCGATCCGTACGTTCTAAACAAGCCCCTGTTTTCTCGAGTCTTAACAAATATAACACAAATGTACACGTTTCAGAATCCTCTGGTCCTCGAGAGATTAAGAATGTGTCGATAACGATAGAGGATGCAAGGATAGAAAGGAATAGTCGTTCGCAATATTACTACTTTCAACAAGTACACGATTCGTTCCTGACCACGACACCGAGTGTGGTTTCATCATTTTATCCCTTAATATTTTCTCTCTAATGCTAACGAACATTACAAAATGATGTTTCTCTTCTTTTATATCACTCTATCTGTACGCGATGAAAAACTTAATTACGGAAAGAATACAAAGACGGGCATCGAGTGAATATTTAAAGTCTTTATATGTATACTCGCTATATTCATAATAAATATACGTTAAAGAACACGTTTCACTGGTAATACTAAATGAGGGAAATAATTATAATACAATATTGACAGTATGCTCGTCGAGTGGTGGATCCGACCTTATGGTGTACATACACACCAAGATGCAGTAACTCTGGTCTTTAACGTATCGGTTTCATTATTTATTCCAACAAAATTTACTCACATCGAAACGATAAAACTTGGTTGAAAAATAACAACGTACGGCAACAGATGAAGATGCGTGTGTGTGTGTGTGTGTGTGTGTGCACGCGCGCACGTCTCTCGCAGTTCTATCCACAAATTTTTTCGATTAAGTAACGTCAGTCTTCTGTTTTTTTTTCGTCTTCGCTTTTCTTCCAAGTAAAATGTTCCGACACTGCAACTGCTTAACGCATTTTATGTTTATGAGCTATACGTGACAGCATTTTATTGCCAGCGAGGAATGTCACGATACCAAGACCGAGCAGGTATCGAAGAGTAACAAACATGTTAAGTTTCAACCAAAATATTCCGAAAAGAACAAAGATACCTGAAAAGGAAAAAAAAGAAATGACATAACGCGTTTCGTTTGAACCGATACAAATGTTTCAATAATGTCGTGAACATTGGGCTACAAACACGATGTAACCATCGAATTTGCGAAAATTTCACATTTTCTTTATGCCCGAGTAACGACAAATAAAACAGGAAAATGTCATAATTTGTCGAGTAACGGGCACATGTCAAGCACACAATTTAGTGACATACGATGCGATACGACAATGAAGTATACTTACTTCCCAAACCAAAATGGAATGTTATTGCGCTCAGAGAAAGTGGAAAGTTTGATATGTTTACTCCAAGTTTGGCCCACAAAATAAATAGCAAAAGGACCGGTGCTAAGCATAAACCAGTAAACAGATTGGAGACAAACGCGGGCGGTCTTTTCTCGGGCTCGCGAAACATATGCTGAAACAAATAAATAAATCGATTAATAATTCAATGAATGAAGCAAAACAACGGTCAGTCGACATACAGTGATTAATTTGGATTTTTTCTAATTCGAAGGTGAAGGAACCTTCGGAAAAAATTTTAGAAAGGAGTTTTAAGAAGTGTCCGTCGAACGAAAACATCGATTTCCGTCGATTAACGAAAAATCGAAGAAATGCGCATTCGACGATAGTATGTTATCCCAATGTTAAGGAGGTGACAGAATCTCGAGAACATTCCTATCACTAACGAGCATTGGTTCGCGTTGATTCGACAACTGGTTAGAAATTTGAACACGAGTAACATTACACACTACCTGTATCTCCGCTTTGGTTGTGTAGACGTTTGATTTACGCTTGTACGAGACACTTTTATCCACTCGTTCGGTCGAAACCGATTCAGGAAACTTTAAATTAACCGTTGCTACGGTCCACTGAAAAGGATTCGTCAATATGGCATCGCCAACTATTAATTCCACGTTATAATCTCCGCTTTGATGGTCAAAGTTCACAGCTGCAGACCCGACTGGCTAAAATGTTTGAAAACACGGGATTGTTAGTTTTACAAGGCGCAACAATTTCAAAGAAAGTGACGGATACAACGAGCAAGCGGAACAAGCGGAATATCCCTACCATATCGAATTTGTAAAGCTGCGATGTATCTGGTTCAGCGACGAAAAGGATTTCACGACCCATTTTGCCGCCGTCCTTTGCATCAGTCGCCGAGTAGAGTCGCACAAAGGCTTGATGCGTACGCATAGGCTTCTTACTGATACCATCTTTCAGCAGAAATCTCATGACCAACTTTTGCTGGGAATCAGCTTCTATCTTTTGGTTTAGCTTTTCGGGATAATTTACTCTAGAATTGAAGTAACTGGAATCTTTGAACATTCTTTCTCGTCGGAAACAAAGAGAAAATATCGAAAAATCATCAACTACCGTGTAAGCTTTGGCTGTGTCGTTTGATCGGCATCGCCGGTGCCAATCTCTAAATGATCAACTACTACTTCGCAAAGTACTTTTACGGTAACAGTGTTCACCACTGATCCTGCCGTGACAGATATTTTATAGAATCCACGTTCTGGTTTAGCTTCCATAAGATTCATTGTGAATAACGTTCTGAAAAACGGAAACATTAACCAATAGCTTGAAGGGATTTTCTTACAGATGGGAGAAGTAATGTCGTCTGTTGATTTTCGACACCTTTCTTAAGGTTGCAATACGGGAAAGGTGGAATAGTAGCTCGAGTATACAGACAAATATTGTACCCCAACGTATAACCGATCGTTACAAAATTGGAAGCAAATCGGTAAAGTTATGGGGAAAATGAATATAAAATGCAGTTAATGCTCACTTGTCCGTCGGCGAAAGTTGTAAACTTTGTTTACTCAAAACGGCAGTATCATCTCCGATTCTTGTTGCCGAATTTGCGATCACCTTGTTTATTTCGGTGACCGGGTTACCCAAAATGTCGCAAACTTTCACCGTGACTAAAGGCTGTTGAGCAGAAATACTAATACCTTCGTTGGCTAATGTTACACAGATCGGTTTTTCAGAATCGCTGGTCGCCAAAGTTGTCAATGCCGAAAGTAGATTCATAACGCCCCTCGGTGTCTGCACAGACCGACGGGACAGAAGATAATTAGCTATTTTAACAATCTGTTGAGACGATAACGGCGCTTTTTTCTGTAATGTGTTGGAAAGTTTGAAAATACCGTTCACCAAGAAACCTAAATGGATAAGAAACACTCGTTAGCGTTTGGCGTTGTTCATTAGTATAATACGATGCGTCTTAAATAATCTGCTGCTTACTGGTCACGGAGAGACCGCCTTCGAATTGCAAGTACTGTTCATCTACTTCGTCGGCTTGTACAATGGCGTCTTCGATGCGATCGAAAGCGAACGAGCCGTCTGGTCCGAGGTCCGACGCGATGTGAAAGGCATAGCCTAAGCTGTTTTTATAAGAAAATTCAATAAAGAACCATTATATCTGGTGACATGGAATTCGTCTGTTTGTAATAAATTACAAGATATTATGAAAATACATCATACTTCCACAAATTGTCGTCCTTCCGTAACATACTTTGCACCGCTTTCGCAACTTTATCTGCTTTGTCACGTAGATGTACGTTAGATACAGATAATGCAGTCAATCCATTTACAGCATAATATAATTCCAACATAGTGGAACCATCTTTCTCTATAGCAGTCGAGAGCACCTGTGTTGAACCAAAAAGATTTTTCTATGTGAATACAATCGAACGGACTCTTGTTTTCGCAACACGCAAGAACCTTCACTCAGTAGATATAGTTTTCTTCATCGAATGAATACAGTAGAACGAAAGTTTGCATACATCATTGTGTACATGCGCGAGACGTTGACGTTTGAAATGTTAGTTGTAAAGACATTTATATTTATACCTTTTCTATATCGGATGAACGAGGTATACGACAGTTTCCGATAACTTTCGAGGTAGTTGCAATATAAAATGCTTTCTCAGTTGCAATATCGCCGTCATTCTTCATCGTTTCTATCAAACGACTGCACAGATTCTAAGAAGAAAAGGGTCAAGTTACGATAATGCTAAGAAATTATTTAGGAATGTTATTGCATCGGATTTCCTTCAGAAAGACTAATCAAAGAATCATAAGGTATCAAACGATTGCATATTTCATCATAGGCAATTCTTCTCGCGAGTATCAACGACGAGCATTTTTCTATGGACAAATGGTAATATTGATAAAGCTGGTAATTGGCGAAAACGATAAAGTATTTCACCTGCTGGTTTGGTAAAGTTTCTCCAAGAAATCTATATCCATGAACAGCATAATACATAAAAGCTGCATCGTTAGATGTTAAACCTGGTTCAAGAATTTTCCTCAAATGGCTTTTGTCAGCCGTTGTTAAATAAACATTTGTCGACTGCAACGTTTCGTTGGCCGACCAACATACTGTTATGCATGTAATCACCAGCAACAGTAATAAAGCTGAAACAACACGAAAGACAAACCGTAAACTAAACGTTTCGATAAGATGAATAAATATAGAAAAATGTTGTTGAAAGTAGCGCAAGATTGAATCGTAGAAATCAACTAATACGAATCGTCGTTCTCTGTGCTAAGTAAAACGTTGAAAACTTATTTTCTAGCTGATTGAAAAACCGAGCGTAAATTTGATGAAAAATTCGACAATGCTCGCGTTACGATGCGTGTCGTTTATATTGTAGAGAAATAACAGATAGAAAGCAATTATTTGAATTATTTTCAGAAATCATTTCAAGAATGTACGTATACGTGAAATCGATAAAAGAAGCATCACCGCAAGTGAGTCGAGAATAACACAGAGTACGAACAACACGCGAACGTGTAATTATTTATGCTGCACATATTCAGAATATGAAATCTCAAAAGAATAGATAGCCGAAGAATACTCACCGATATTCATTGTAGTTGGAATACCGGGTATGCCGGTTGCCACGTTGCTGTTTCGGACAAAATGGCTCTTGATCCATTGCGCGTGCACGGAAAAATGGACGATGCTTCGTTCCGGAAGTAGTTGGCAGTACTAGTTATACCGGTACGCGACGCATGCGCAAACGATACAACATGATACCGTGCGAGTAACTTTTCGAGCATAGAAATTGATTGGTTTACACAATTGGTTGGCATAACGAACGTTGAAATTCTCAATTACTCTAGATCTGGATCAAACGAAGCACAAATCACACCTACATACGTATCGTTGATCAGAAAAGTGATTGGTACGTGAATTTTTCGAATATTCTTGTTGTACCGTGAAACGTTTTTTCCACTCTTCTATATTCGAATTGCATGGCTGACGTGTTATTAATTTTCACTTTCGTTCATTGGATTTATCAAAATAAATAACGGTACGCGTTCGCATACGTTCGCGTCGATAGTAGATCCGATTCGAAGTTTCTACTAAATTTCGCCACTCGAATGATAATAATGGTTCATATGATTTTCGATAAGGATGCGAGTCGTCAGCCGGTGCGCCAAAGAAACATGTATGAACACAAGTAACGAGTGCCTAGCAAAGTATCTAAGATGAATTCGAGGATAACGAAGAAATAAGTTCGATACGACGACTTTCGAGTGTTCGAATAAGGAAATACGGGATCAGATCGAAAATTCGGTTGCTCGAATGAATGTTTGAGACAGCAAAGCTATACGAGCGTCTTCTGAAAGATCTGTTCTATTGATAATTAACGAATAAGCTAGTATTACACGATATTCCAATCCATTAATTAAAGGTTTTTACAGTCACTGGAATGTTAGCCTTCGTACGCATATTTGAAATCGAGTGTCGCAGAAACAGGCAGATTCATTGAAATGACTGAAAATCGAAGCCAGAGGTTGCCGTGTACAACAACGTAAAAATCGACGCAGCGAATTGCAAGTGAAAATAATAATATTCGTAATAACTGTAAAAGTTGCGTAGTAACGTTCGATTATAAAGACGAACTTGCGACGACGGAGGCATTAACAATAGCACTAACAGTAATGATAAAGGTAATATGTACGCAGTAATAGTGGAAACAACACAACACCGGTAACGCAGATAACTGTACGATTATGCTGGTACAGCAGCGAACACAACTGCGTACGCATCTCGCTCGCTATTCGGAGACTTGTACAAAAATGAAATTGAACAATGTACGTTTCATATAAAATAGGTTCTAACAGCATATACGTCTA